TTTTATAGACTGGACATGCATCACATGTACATATCAGTACAGTCGGCCTAGTTCCTTATGTTGACCACCTCTGTATGTTGACCAGTTTGTGACAGTCCGTTGGGTGGCCAGCTTACAGAAGTTCCACTGTATATATCCACAAGGGCAGCCCACGTGGCTAGACGTTCATCCCTAGAAAGGGGCCTGGTTTCATTATCTTTTAAAAGCCACATCACACCTATATGACTGTGTCCTTATGAGTCATCTCTGAGGCAGTTAGGGACATATGTCAGTCTGGTTAAAAAGGGAGGGAACTAGGCTCAGTCCAGGAGCATCTACACAGGGAGTCTGGCTATGCAGGGGCACTTTTCCTTATTAGCTAGGGAGCTAATAATTACTGAAGCTCTCTAAACCTCAGTTATCTGTAAATTGAGGATAATATTAGTACCCCACTGGCTGTTGTGTGGCTAGGCAGCAGAGTTTACTAGCATAGCACTGTTAAAGAGTAGGACCTGTCACACAGGATGCATTAAGAAAAAAAGTTGTGAGTTATCACTTGGGATAGCAAATTTTCAGTTGGCTGAATTTGAAAAAATAAATTAGTCTGCCCTCTATGGACACATTTACTTTTAATTTTTTTGGTTTATTTTCATTTCCATATCCTGGAAACTTACTTAGCCTGACTTTTTATAACTAGAAGAGTTCCACAAACGCTCTGACTGTAATCTAAGGGCAAATTAATTCCTCCCGCCACGTGTTCTTGCTTATTCTCTTCAAATCTTAACCAGGGTAAGATTTTTCTGTCTGAGCAGCCCCAACTTCATTTCAGTCTTGAGGACTATGCTGTTCTCTATTCTGTACCCCCAACCCCAACTCATGCAGGGCAAACATGGTATGATGGGATTTGTGGAATCTGGGAGAAAGTTTAAATGTTATTGAAGAGCTCTGCTGCTCTTTCTCTTACCAGACTTTTCCACACCAAATTCTAAGGTGTTTTGAAATATATTGAATTAAAATTAATAGTGTACAACTAATGAAATAGAAAAACTTCCAGTTAAATTAGGCATCATTAACATGAGGTGATTTGCTTTACTATTACCTTAAAGCAGTAACCAGGTGAAATGAAATGGCATTAAGTCTGCCTCTTCAACTATCTCTACCCATCACAGTCCCAAGACACTAAATTCATTTTTCTCCAGAGATTTGAAAATCAATGCACAGAACTATGACATTACTATATCTCAGCGAACATCCCCACAGGAATCATGTTCTTTTGGAATGCTACCAATAAGAAAAAAATTGAAATGTTGTATTATACTGAATTTCATAAAAAAGGGCAATGTTCCAACTGTGGAGTATAGAATTTGCACTGTCTTGGTATGATAACTTCCAAGTGGGGAGGGAGAGTAGTTTACCCATCTTTGGAATTTGAAGTGTTAACATTGGACAGTATAGTGCGGGGAAAAGAACTGAAATAGGAACTGGGAAACTTGAGTTGAAATACTGTTTTGCTACTAACTAGCCCAGTGACTCAGATTAGACAGACACTTAACTCCTTTGACCCTCAAGTCTCATATTCTTAAAATAAGGAAGGTGCATTTGATAATTGCCAAAGTTCTTTCTAGATCTACAATGTCACATACAGTCAACATTCTTCACTTTAAGGAACCGTTTACCAGTTCCTACTACTGTATTGGAAAGCATTGTACTAGGTGCTAGGGAAATAAGAAGATAAATATAATGATCTTGGGTGGCACCTGTGGCTCAAGGGAGGAGGGCGCCGGCCCCATATGCTGGAGGTCGCTGAGTTCAAACCCAGCCCCAGCCAAAAAAAAAAAAAGATCTTCCTGACTGCAAAGGTTTATAATCGTGTGTATTATTAAAATGACCAGGGAATACTTGCAGAACATTATGTCGTCATTTTACTATACTCGTTTTATTATTCAGAAAATGTTTGGGGCTGTGAGGCTCACAGACTAAGAGCAAGCTTTGCCTCTCAATCCTCAAGCTATAGCCAACTCACTAGAAAGAGCTGGGTAAATTACTCCCAAAGTCTGTGTTTACTTGAAAATAATCATAGTGGCCCAACTGAAAGCAATGGTGAGGAATAAGAGAGGTTGTACATCTTTAAGTTTTCATGTATATCATGGATCTGCTAGGGGAGTGCTGGAAGCCAGGGACAAAGCAGCTGGCGGATCCTTCATACAGCTTAGTCATCGTATACATTGTAATATGTATACAGGGTGGACATAAAGTTCGTGTGCAATTTAAAATAATTTAACATAGTAAATGGCACATGAACTTTATGTCCACCCTGTATATAGTTGTTTTGTTTTGGTTTGGTTTGGTTTTTTTTGAGATAGAGTCTGACTTTCTTGCCCTGGGTAGAGTACCATGACTTCACAGCTCACAGCAACTTTATACTCCTAGGCTCAAGAGATCCTCTTGCCTCAGCCTCTAGAGTAGCTGGGACTACAGGCATCTGTCACAAATCCTGATGGTTTTTCTATTTTCAGTAGAGATGAGGTCTCACACTTGCTTAGGCTGGTCTTGAACTCCTGAGCTCAAGCAATCCACCCACTTTGTCTTCCCAGAGTGCTAGGATTATAGGCATGAACCACCACACCCAGCTATATACATTATTATAAAGTTTGCTGCAAATAATATAGCAATGTCTAACTAAAACAAATTAATTATGGGCTTATTTTAATGTAGAGGTTTTAAAAAGCAAGCTATTTTCTGTGTAAAATAACAGGTGTTTCAATCCTTGAAGTACCATAATAAACAGTAAAAAAAAAAAAAAACAACTCTCACATAAATATTATGCACAAAAGGTCAGGAACTTGTATACAATGACATATAATTTATTTTCTAGATGTAGATTAAGCTGAAAACATAAGTGGTGTAAAGATTGCAGGAGCAGCTTGCCTGCTCAGGGTGAGAGCAGACAATCTCATTAGATCTGTCCAAGAAGGAATCACCTTTCTCAGAGTCCGGAGATACCTACCCATCACTGCCCAGTGGCTGTTTCCACCACGTTGAAGGTGACTAGTAGGAACGTTCTATCAGAGTTTCTTGTCTTGAGAAGGAAACTGAAGTAAATAATAAATAACTTCAGGTACAATTCTAAAATTTTGCATTTAGATAAAATGATTCAGGAATGTCTGAATGATAAAAATAAAACTATAAGAATGTAATTAAAGAGAAATTAGGGATTCAGAGAGAGTATATTACAATGAGAATGTTGTAGGACATAGGAACTGGTTTGTGTGAGCTATTTCTCTCAAATATTTTGTTTTTGGTGTAACATTTATCTGAAACCTGAATTTCAGAAGAAATTCAAAAGCCTTGGCTGTAGAAATCTAAAACCAAAGCGACTTCTCGTTTTGTCGTGTAGTTTGGGGTGTCTTCCGTTCTCTGAGGCTGCCCGCAGGGCCTCAGGCTATTGTTGTTGGGGTTGCTGCTGGTGGTGGAGGGCCCTCTGTTACTATCTCCAAATATTATTCCGTTATCATGACATGGTAAGTGTGATGAGTCGATTTCAAGCACTGAAAAGACAGGACAGAATTCATGAAAATGGTGCGAATTCTTGACTTCGAGGAAGAATTCACCCAAATTAACTCCTCCCCTGGCCAAATTACAGCCGGTTTCGTTTTCTGGACGGACTCCCCGCATTGATGACTTAGGTTTTCTTAGATGATGCAGGCTGTCCTTCGTGGGATGGTGACCCCCCGCGGACTTGTGGGCATGCCAGACTGACTCCGTAGCTCAGAGGGTGGCCCTGGATTTCTGTACGCTGCCCGTAGCACACAGACGTGTATGACGGACAATGCCTGTAATATTCAGAGACTCTTTAGCTCATTTGAGACGAGGGAGGTGACTCCGGAAAACAAGCAAATTTCCAAAGTGGGAAGAGGATGGACTGTTGTACGAGAAACGGGAATTTGCTCGCCACCAGAGGGTTTGCTAGGAATGAAGACACGGCAATTCTTCATCCAGTTTCCTGCGGTAGGAAACAGCTGGAAAAAGAAGTCCCAGTCCAAGTTCGGCGCTGGCAGGACTCTGAGGCTTGGGGCAAGCGGTGGGACACGGGACGCATCGCCCCAGGCTTTGGGATGGGCTGACTTCCCTATTTCGAGCAGCGAGATACAGGCTGCCCTAACTGCTCTTCACCTCCTCGGTTCTTTGGGGAACACTTAGCATGCTTTGTTTCAGACACCGACCCATCTTTCTCGGTTGGTCTCCAGCTCCACCAATCCCGCCCGCCACGGGGCGGGGTTTCAGGGTCAAGGTGGACCAATTCCCTAGCTTCGCCCCTACACGCGCTCTCGGACCCCCGGGGGTGACTGACAGCAGCCAGGTCCAACCTGCTCCTCCAGAGCGTGGCCTCCGCCGGGGGCGTTACGGAGACCAGGCCCCCGGACCAATCGCATCGGACCCAAGGGGGCGGGGCCTCTTTGCCTGCTCTAGACGGCGCTATCAGCACTCCTTTTGTCAAATGAGAGTCGCGGGGGGGGCGGTCTCTCAACGGCGGAGAGCCAATGGAGAAGGCGAGATGGGCGGGCTGGGCGTGCCAGACGGCGGGTCCTCAGCTCCGAGCCGAGGTGCGGTGAGCCGGTGGGGGGACCGCGAGGCGAGCGCGGGAGCCTGGGCGGCGAGCGGGGTGTGAGCTGCCCGAAAATGCACTCGGATGCTGCCGCTGTCAGTGAGTAACGGAGAGCGAGCGGGCAGGGGCCGGGCGGCTGCCAGCACTCGCCACTCGGCTCCCACAGTCACCGCCCCACGCCTCCTGTCCCGAATCGCGCCGGGAACCCCTGCCCGAGGGCCACCCCTTCCCCTCCCGGGGCCGGGGCGGGCGGTGACGCTGCGGGCGGCGCGGAGCGGTGGCAGGCGTGGGGGGAAGGGGCCGGCCTGCGGGGGAGGGCGGAGGTGAGGGGGGTGGGGACTGGCTCCATTTCAGTGTTGGGGGAAGGGGGGGCGGGACGTGCGATGAGGGGCCGGGACTGGAGTGTCCGGGGTGAATGGAGGTGGAGGCAACGGCGGGCTCTAGCGGGCAAGGCTGGGGGGGTGGCACTGGCGGGGGAGAGAGGGAAGGAGTGAGCAGGGCGCAGGGGTGAGGATTTCCGAGGGTCTGAATAGTGCAGGCGGCTCCGTGAGAAAGGCGGGTGAGTGCGAGGGGAGCGCGGGGGCGGGGACAATGGGAAGGGCTGGATGTTGGGGGTGGGGGGAAACAATGGGGTGGGGGAATGGGGACAGCGGCTGAGAGGGGCTGGAGAGCAGGCAGGAGGATGAAGGCTGATGTAACGGGAGAGCTAGATGTGGGAGGGATTGGGGTGTGATGGAATAGTTGGGGAGTCTTGCAGGCGGGAGGAAAATTGGAATGGTGGGGGGTAACAGTGGTGGGAGGGGAAGATACTGGGTTAATATGATGGGGCAGGTGTTGGGACGGTAGGGCAATTGAAAGGAAGAGGCGAAAAAGGGGGGGAGTGTTTGGGATCGCAGACTGGAGGAAGGGTTGAGAAGATGAGGTAAGGGTGAAGAGCTAGTTGGGGAGGAAGGGGAGATTGGGGTAGGGGTAGGATTGTCATGTCCAGATTCTGTCCGGCGCCAGGCTGGGGGGAGGGTGCCGGACTGCGTGTTGGGGGGAAGTGCTTCCTCCCTCCCGCTAGGCACGGTCCCTGGAGTGGGAGCTCACAGCTTCGGGGTGCGGGGAAAGGAGGGGGCGGGGCTGAAGTGGAGGACGGGGGAAATGCCCCAAGGTTGGCGGTGGCCGCGGTCCCTCCTCCCCCGAACGGCGGGAAGCGAGGTCAGCGCTGGCGCGGGCTCGGGCTGCGGGACTGGGGGGCAGGGCAGGGGTGCGGGCTGCGTGTTTTCCGCGGCGACATCTGGAGGGGTCAGGCTATGAAGGTAGGGTGGGGGGTTTTGCGCAAGGGAGGTGTCAGGGTCCCCGGCAGCCCGTGGGTTTGGCAGTTTGTGACGCAGTTGTCTAATTTCTGTCTTATCAGGTATGGAGGCTGGTGCTTTGGGACCTTCTTCCCTGCGGGGAGGGCTGGTCCTGAAGCCCAGCGCAGCGCCTGGGGGGGGGGCGCGACTTCTCCCAGACGTAAGGGGAGGGCGCTTTAGGGGTTTCCTTTAGGGTCTGGCTCCAGTCGTCGGTGAGAAGGGGAAAGGCGGTTCCGCGGAATTCTGGGACTTGTAGTCCGAGCCGCGCCGGGCCGCGGTTGGGTTGGGTGCACGTGGGTAACTGTGGAAACGAGTCCCAGAATGCAGCGCGTCCGCGGAACCTCCCTGCTCGGCTAACTCGTGCTTTATTCCCTGGCCGACTCGAGTGCGTTCTCGGGAGGTGCTCGAGTCCCCTGGGACTGAAGCGGTTCCCCAGCCCTTCTCCTTGTATCAGCTGGAGAGGGAGAGTCCAAGCCAAGCACAGTCCTCCCACACTTGGGTTCTTGATCCCCAAGTTAATTATTTTTTCCTGCATTTGGTGGCAGTACTTGTAGAATAAATGCCTATTCTTGAGCCACCTCGCACACGGGTTATGGGAAAACATTCAAGAAGCAACGCAGTCTGAAGCAGCTTTTAGGATGGTGTGTTGTATGTAAGCACTACGTTAAGACATTGAGTCTTAAATACGGGAACGCCAGTGTAGGCGGCTGTAACCCTTGTGAAGATGATAAACTGTTAACGATGTATTGGTATTTCTTGGGCTATTTGGATTTCCCAAGGATAAGGGGACTTCTTTGAAAAAAGACACTCTTGAAGTGAATGGGAAGCGGCTTAGCAGAATTTAGAGTGGGAATTGTTCCATTCATAAGGCAAGCATGGAAATGTGAAGGTGAACAAAGGGAAAATGGTGATGTCTTCAGTTTCCAAAGAAGCTTGGAAAGCACATGAAGACAAAGAGGAAGGTAAACGGCTTAAAGAGCCAGACCTTTAGGAGTTTTCCCCTTTGCTTGCTTGCTTCCTTGTTTTGTTTTTTTGCTCCAGGCTGTGATTCCTTCTCTAATACTGGCAACCTTCCTCTCAATCTGACTGAGACTGATGACTTCCTGAACATCACATCTTCTGTTCCCCTTGTTATTTACAGGCAATGACTCCAAAATTTGTCATTTAGATGGCTATGAGATTAGCTTAGATGATAACTTAGTCTCTAGTTAACTTAGTCACTAGAAGAATATTATAATAACCCTAATGATGAGATTTTTACCAAGAATTAGTAACGTTTGGAAACCATTTGGTATGGTTACAAATACAAAGGGTGCCCCCCCCCAAACATATACACATTTTAAGAGATGTTATCTATGTATTACTTTTCAGAGTTGAATGTTACTGGTCAAGTGTACGTAGACATGCTGCGTTTATCCGTTTTACCTGCAGTTCACACACTTTTGGGGAATAATAGATTTTACTTCCAACAAGATCTCTTGAAATGTGTACATATTTTTTGGCACCCCCTGTGTACTGAATTTGCAAACTTAGTTGATCTTTTAATGATATCTGAAAAATTGAACAATGTTTTTTGTGAAAATCATTTATATGTCATATTTTACTTAATCCTCTGGTGAAATGTCCAGGAAACCCTTTGTAATATGTAAATATGTACAAAAAGGGCCTTTAATTTTGGAATTTGCTCTTACAAAGGGTAATTAAGATGATCAGGTTGAAAAACATACAAGAGCTGTAGTTGTCTTTAAGGTGGTGTTAAAGAAAATACGAATCCGGTCAAGTCTTTATCTTTTTCTTCAGCTACACCCTAAAGGACAGGTGCCTTTACAGACGTGCCACCCCCTCCCTTGATCCCCTAAAGCGCCAGGCTCCCACAAAATATCAGCTTATACTTTCCGTTCTGGTTTTTAGGTTGCTCTTTAATTTTCTACCACTGGGGAGGTCCTTCATTGTGAATTTAGCTATGGGTTTAAACGGACGCTTCTTACCCCCTACCCAGATACGATATGTCTAATGTCTATGATAACTTTGCCAGCCTTCCTTATTTCCTCTACCTTAAAGGACTTCTGTATATTTACTCTCTTTTTCCTCTCTTCCTGCCTCCAAGAAGTGCCCCTATTGGCACTTGATCATATTTTTTCAAATTTATCATTATCCCCTTTTCTATTTCTTTTCTATTTTTTTTTTTTTTTTGAGACAGAGCCTCAGGCCTCTACCCTGAGTAGAGTGCTGTGGCATCACAGCTCACAGCAACCTCCAACTCCTGGGCTCAAGCAGTTCTCCTGCCTCTGCCTCCCAAGTAGCTGGGACCACAGGTGCCAGCCACAATGCCCAGCTATTTTTGGGTTGCAGCCATCATTGTTGGGTGGACCTGGGCTGGATTCGAACCTGCCAGCTCAGGTGTATGTGGCTAGCGCCTTAGCTGCTTTGAGCCACAGGCGCTGAGCCTACTTTTCTGTTTTTAATCTTAAGTTGTTTCAAGCAGCTCTTACTAGCTTATTGCATTCTTTCTGGCTATTTTATATATAATATATATACGTGTGTGTTTATGTGTATATATATTTTGCATTTTCCTCATCTCGATCATCATTTGCTAATTAGAGCTAATATTTAATAGCTAGTAGTTCTGCTAGCTCAGTAATATAAAATTCAGCCTGTCTTGAACTGACCTTAAGATGATCTGGTACTAAATCAGGTAGGAAGCATTTGGCAAGTAACAATACTCAACTAGAAATGGCTTTAATTTTAGGACTTAACTATTGTCCAGTAGCAAGAGGTCTAGAAATAGGTGGTTCTAAAGGTGATGCAGTGGCTAAATAATGTCATTAAGGATCTAGGCTCTTTGTATCTTTTTCTTCCTTTGTGATTAGCATTTTGGCTTTGAATATTTAGTTCATTTCCTCATGTTTACAAGCCGGTTGCTGCAGCACCAGATATCAGGCCTGTGTAAGAGAGTGAGAGAAGGAGTGTATTTCCTTACAACTCCCTCTTAACAGAGAGAAGTCTTTTCCAGAAGCTCACTTTGGAGACTGATGTTTCAATGTCATTGGCTCAAACTGATCTCATGCTGCTGCTAGTTGTGAAGGAAGCTGAGAAAGTGAAAGTCCAGCATTTTTCAGCTTCTGATACAGGATATGGTTTTTGCAAGGGTGGAAGAAGGTTGGGGAGGATGCTTTGGGTAGGCAGCCTGCAGGTTATATCCTTGAACCAGATACTTGCACCAGCTGTCTGTGGCTTTGTCTCAATCTCTGTTGATTTGTTTT